TTCTAAATATTTTTTTATATTTAAAAACATTTACATAATCGTTATATATATATATATATATATTGGTTTTATATATATATTGCTGTGTTGTATACCATAAAATAATTAATTGTACACACACATTTTGATTACACAGTTATAACAGATACACGCGGTTAAGTCTTTCGCGAAATACTAATTCAATACCTCACAGCAAACCACCCTTGAATCCAAGGATGTATAAGCTCCTGTTTCCTAGATTTCCAAAAAATTCCAAGAACTAGCCAATCGTTAGCAAATAGATAGTTTGAACAGAATAACATATAATATATATCGGTACATATATATTTAATCTTTCTGTATATATCTATATACGCACGCACACACACTCGCACAAGATATATGTATGATATAAGTGTGTATGTGTATGTGTGTGTATATATTAAGCAAAAGATATCGAAATCTCTTTAAGTGACCTTATAAAAATTATTTTTTGCTTACATACTGTTTGTACAAAAAAAGTAAAATTAATATTGTACATACTAAAAAAAAAAAAAAATATTTTTGTGTACTTATACATCAGCTAAAAAATTTATTCCTAGCACAAAAAAAAAAAAGAAAAAAATTGTATTATTTTTTGTTTTAGCTAAACATATTTGGTAATTGACACAAGCCTAAATTAAGAATTTTTGTAATTATTTTTCTCACTAGTACAGCTGAATAAATATTTACACAACTATAATTTGAAAATATTTGAGAAAGATTTACATCCTAGTAAAAACTATTTTGTGATACACACACATTGTATGATTTAGCATTTATATATTATATACAGAAATTTTCTTGATGAATAATAACCTAGATAGATCAAGTATATTACACATTATAATTTATAAAGGAAAAACAAGAAATACGTAGACATTTATGTTTTCTGCAATCCATTGCGCTTTATTACAAATGAATCTACGATATGCAGATTTACATGAACGATTGCCTATCAACGCAAAACTTACTTCTAGAAATATATTGTCGTGCGTGAGAATAAACCTAAAAATTTGAATTGATTCTCAAGTATTAAAATATTTCCCTTGAATTTAGTGTGCACACCTAAAGACATTGTTGACAAAAACATTCTTAAACAATGAGAACATTATAAAGCATATTTTTATTAGTCTTTATAAATTATTGCAATATTCAAGTTTTAAAAATTGTATTATGTGCATTGTTTGTTTTATTTATCTGTCCCTTTGATTATATAGAGACTATCTTCTTATCCATTATTTTCAATAATATTGTTTATTTTATCAATAAAAGAAAGTAAAAGGGCACAAATTTCATAAATTATGTACTGAATATTATCATATTTTGAAACTAATTGATTATCCAATAAGATAAGATGGCAATTCAATAGTTTAGACAATATTAAATTAATGTATCTCTAAAATAACATCATTAATTTGACTCAAAATTAATATCTATGTAATAGTTTTATTCACCACTTTCCAAACTTCAAATTTCACTCAAAATGAGATTTATTTATGAGATACAATAGTTACAGTACGTATCTGAAGAGTTTTCAAGTGAACTTTATTTGCAATGTTTATCAACATTGTTTAGAAGTGTGTACCAAGCTTTACTAGCAAAACACTATATGATAGAGAATATTTGATATTTAAAAAATAGAAGAATAGATCATAATAAAGATTTTTCCATTTTGCAATATTAATCTCTGTCGATGAAAAATAAACGTAAACGCTACATGTAGCTTTGTAGGTTTCACGACAAACGTAACGCATAAATCTAACATCATAAAATTTATCAATTAAAATTTGTTGAATTACAGAATACGATCCAAAATTAAATCATCGCCCGCATGAGCAGAATTGATTAATTGATTGATTAATTAAGAAACGTGAGTTTATGATAGTTGCATAACGAAAACTTCATAACGCGAATAAGAGGAAAGCATGTGAGAAAAAAAATACACGTGTTATAGGGCAGAAACTAAACGCGTCTCCACAAAAATCAAGGAAATATGCAGTATTAATTGAAATATATATATACACACACACACATATATATTATAACATGTATGTATTTAAATGATAGAAGAACATGAAGCGTGCGAGTGTTGCTATAATAGGTGATAGAATACCTTTTGCAATCTCAACACAGATTATTCGGCTCTCGTTGGATGCGCGCGCACTCATTGTTATCCTCTTATACGCTCTTGGACAAGCTCAGTCCCTGGAAATAAATAAAAATTGTTCAATCATAACAAATGATCCCATAGTTTATTGTTGTTCGAAAATTTCATCATTTCTCATTTTAACAACAATATTAATCAAGTAATTCTTACCTAGATTTGGAACGGCTATCCTTTTGCCTGTCCTGCGACTTGCTACGTGAGCGTGATTTTCCGCGCGAGCTTTTACTATCAGAACGAGAACGACTGCGACTGCGACTATAGGAGCGCCTGCGATCTCTATCGCGACTACGCGATCTACTGCGGGATCGAGATCGAGAACGTCTACGATCCCTACTTCTACTACGTGATCTACAAAAGTGTGCAAATATTAGAACTTGTCCATATACAAGAAAATAGCTGTATATTGGAATTTATAATTATATAATTTGTATAATTTGTTCTGTCTCTATCTGTATTAGCTTAATATTAATAAAATGACAAAAAAATGAGAACATTATTATAAAGCATATTTTTGTAATCTTTATAATTTGTTAGGTAATATCCAAGCTTTCAAAAAATTGTGTTGTGTGATGGTGTCTTTGTATGTATGTTTGTTTTATTTATTTATCTTTTAGCTTATATAAAGACTATCTTCTTATCCATCATTATCAATACTATTGTTTTTTTTATAATATTAAATAATATTATTTTTTTATCAATAAAAAAGTAAAAGTTTCAAAAATTTTATAAATTAAGACACTGAATATTATCGTCTTTTAAAATTAATTGATTATCCAATAAGATAGTATTATCCGATAAGATTTAATCAATATTGATATTTTATATATCTCTAAAATAAAATCATTAATTTGACTCAAAATTGATATCTATGTAATACAGTTTTATTCATCATTTTCTAAACTTCAAATCTCACTCAGAAAGAGTTTTGTTTATGAGATGCGATAGTTATAGTATGTATCTAAAACAGGGTGTCTACTCAAATTTTGTAAAAAGATTCCTTGAAAATTCCCTGATTATCCAGATAGTTTTGTTCAAAATTCCAGGTAAAGAGAATATTTCAAAGATTTTTTTTAGTGCAATTTCCTAAAATAAGTTTATTATTGTACACGTTTTCTAACGCTTTTTACTCATACAAAAAAAAAAATAAAAAAAAAAACACAAAGCCACTTAAGTTTCAAGTGTTAAATTTATAAATGTACTAAAAAAAAGCTGAATAACTTTCTAAGATAACAATTTTTAACTTGCATAACATTTTCTTTTTTTATCACTAAAAATTAAAATAAAAAACATGTACTATATATTCAATATTTTGTTAAGACATTGAATATATAAACAGAGATAGAAATATATTTATAATATATTTTAAACACATAATTCACAACTTGACTTATTGGCGGATTGCAAACTGCTTACAGTATGAGCAAAATTATTAAAGAAAAAAATATTTTGAAAATTCCCTTAGTCCCAATAAAATTCCGTGAGAATTCCCTGATTTCTCCAGGTACAAAACAATTCCCTGAGAATTCTAGATTTTCCAACATTTTCCGTGCTTTTCCAGACAGTAAATACCCTGTTATAGTATGTATCTAAAATGACAATATATAGCTTACCTTCCACGACGGCGACTTCCGCGGCTTCGATGAGGAGACGTCGGACGTCCATAACGCGCCATTTGAACTCGGAGTTCCCTACCATCTAACAGCCTTCCATCCATAGCATCTAATGCATCTTCCGCATCACGCTTATCGTAAAATCTATCAAAAGATATATTTAAAGCATTTGTGATTTGTTTTTTAAACATTTTTAGAATTTTTTCTTCTAATATAACTAAATTCGTTGGTACAGTCCCTGGTAAAAAAATTCTACAATTTCTATGAAAAATTAAAATTTTCAATAACAAATCACAACCTTCTACAAATTTATTAAAATTGTAGAAAATCATGGTAAGCTGTAGTAATATGTAGTAAGTTGTAAAATATATTTACAAATTTTTACAGGTTTTTACAACTTTTTACGAATACTTTTATGAGTAATGTAAAAAGTTGTAGAAGTTGTAAGTGCGCTTTTTATTATTAAGTCACTATTATCGTTACTTTATGTTAATATAATTTGATTATAATAAAATTTGCACACGAATTACCATGTTGGCTCTTAATTGCCTTCCCTCACCTTTGTATGATTCGTAAAAGTCTTTATTGTTTCATTTTAATTTTAAAAATTATAAAAGTTGTAGATATAATAACTAAACTATATATAATGTAGTTGTAGAAAATCACAACTTTCTATGTAAATTTATGAAGAAATACAAACATGGCCCAAATCGTGTAATTGAGCGTAAAAATTACGTAGAAATAATTTAAAGTTATAGTTACATAATAAAAAATTGTAGTTTTCGTGTAAAAAGTTATAAAACTATTTCTATCGGGGTTTGTTTAATTTTGTTGGAAAACCTTATTTTAACTGTTACGTGATCTCTGTATCGGAGCGGCTAAATTCTAAAGTCATACAGTATAGTGGAACTGCTGTGCTCTCATGTCATGACGTCAGCATAATTATCAACCGCGTCCGTATATTTAAGATCTTAGCGGTTGTTAAATATATATTCGACATGTATGACATACTTACAGTGTATCAATCATTGTAACATCTAAGCTCACCTGACAAATGCGAAGCCGCGACTTTCGCGCGTGAAGCGATCGCGGGGGATGTAAATATCGCCGACTTCACCACAACGCTCAAACACGCGCCTAAGATCTTCCGGCGTTGTCCTGTATGTAAGATTGTCGACTTTCAGAGAGACCATCCCATCGATGCGGGGCGGCGGTCTTCCATAACTCATCTTCCTTTCACGAATTTACTCCTCGTGATCAGATAGACAAGATTTCTGATTGACGAATTTATTACAAATCAATTTTGTTCTATCCAAACGACGATGCTCCAAAGACCAGCAACAAGAAGATGGCGACTGCTTCGGTTACTCTCACAGATATCTATACTACTACTAGATCGCTAACTTCGTCAAAAGAGCTGTGGCCGGCCGGATTTCCGGATACGGCCATTACACCTTACAACAAAATGGCGGCGGTGCATGTGTAGTGCGTATGTGACCATGAAGGAAGAGTAAAGGCTGGTTTATGCAGGCCGTAACTGTTAATTTATGCCGGAACCGTTAGTGCCGGTCTACAATAGGCGATTTAAGCCCTAAACCTTATGACTTAACCTCTAAACTATGACGTATTTTCGGCCTTAAACATTTCTCGCGCTGCCTTAAGCCCTAATCTCTAAGCCCTAAGCGAGTTGGCCAACTCCCATCTTTTAAAGCTTAGAGCTTGAGGCTAGGATCGATGTAATTTTTCTCTTAAAACAAAGGCTAAATCTTAAATCACCTATTGTAGACCGGCACTAATGAAATAAATAAAATAAAATTCAATAAAGATAAATAGATAAATTAATTATAAGCAATAATAATTTATAATAAGGTAAATTTAAATTCACAATTTAAATATTGGGTATTACGTACGCACAAACACTAACGCACGTCGGGTATCACATACACGCACTACACACGCATCGCCGCCATTTTATTGTAAGGTGTCATGGCCGAAACCGGAAATCCGGCTGGCCACAGCTTTTCATATGTCAAAGCCCGAAGTTAGCGATCTAGGTTTAGTATAGACATCTGTGGTTACTCTTGAACTGCGTTCCGATTTCCGATATTACTGAAAAAACGTATAGTTTACGTCACGTACACTATAGATTTTCAGTACTGGCAGTGAATATCGGAACGCAATCTTTGGCCGCGTTCAGCAAAGAAAACCGTTCAGTAGCAATCAAATACGATTGGCTCTTATTTTTAGAACCAACTACTGAACTTTATACTGTAAAAGTGCGTTTACATGGCAGCGTTAAGGTGCCATTACATGGCAGCATTAAGCGTCGAGCGTCTGCGCAGAAAAATGCGCAGAATTTAAAAGAGATAGATTCTAGGCTGAAATTAGATTCTGCGTAATTTTCGGCGCAGACGCTCGACGCTTAATGCTGCCATGTAAAGGTGCCATTACGTCTCAATAATGCTCTTTTCTTAGGGCCAATTTTACCAAGTCCGGTTAGATTAACCGACGGTTAAAATTAGCAAGGTTCCAACTGAAATGATATAAATGTTTGGTTTTCCTTCACCTCTATTTTCTGTTGGCCACCCTGCTAATTTTAACCGGTTAATCTAACCGGACTTGGTGAAATTGGCCCTAACCGGACTTGGTGAAATTGGCCCTTCTGATGCAATCTCAATATAGGGAATTCAAATATTGGATTGTTTAGAAAATATTTCACGGCTCCCCGAAAGCCAAACCTAATATTCATGCAGACTACGAAAGTCTCAAATATCAAAGGACGTGAACTATTTTCAGTATTATATTTTCAGTACTGGCAATAAATAAGGGCCGTGGCACATAGAAAAACTTAAGCAGTAAGACTTAATACTTAAGCGTATTTCATCCATATGGAATTTTCAGCGTTGCTTATGTTTCAATATGGCTGCCTTACTGTTCGACGGTGATTGGTCAATTCGCTTACTGCTTAAGGGGTCGTTCTCACTAAGCGCGTCAAGCGTCGCGTCACGACGCGACGCGACGGCAGTTCAAGACATGGCGTTTTTTGTTATTCACACTGAACGCGTCGCGGCAAATCAACGCATGCGCAGAATGTACTAGTTCGCCAGGTTATTGGTTGCAATAAACGTGAACATAACCTTTAAATTAAAATATAGTACAAATCTGATTATCTGTTTTCTGTAAAACAGTATATGACCTAAAACAGTGTATTAAATATCGGAGACCTACGATTGAAACAGAGTGAGTATAGAATGTATGTATGAAATTATGTTATTATGGCAAACGCGAGAATGTCGAGCAACCAAACGAACCAAACCGACGCGTCGCGCAAGAAGGTCGCGTCGGAGATAATGTAATAAAACAGACGTTCTGATTGGTTACCTTGTAACGCGACGCATGACGCGACGCGAGACGCGCTCAGTGGGAACGACCCCTAAGTCTTACTGCTTATGTTTTTCTATGTACCACGGCCCTAACAGGACGCAATTTTCGGCACGATTACGATAACTACGGCCCCCTATTTGAAAGGTCGTTTCTGAAAGCATTTTTGAAAAGAAACACGAGAAAAATAGTAAAATTTTCCGACCAATAGTTTTCAAGATATATCGCTTTAAAGTATTGGACATGATACTAAAACATTACAAAACGGACCCAATGACCTTTTGACCTTGACATATGTTGTGAAGATCACTGTCGCGAGTATCTTCCATGTGTAGCTTAGAATTGTATGTACTACCAATGTCTTGCGTTGTTTACGTTTTTTCGAATCTAACCCAATCCATCTCCCACCCACACAACAATTGCGGGGCGGACCTCGCTTCGCGTTGTAAAGTATATGCGTAGACACAGTGGGTTCCGCCCCCTTTATGGGGGGGCTCCATTTCCGAAAGATATAATCTAAGGGCCACCGCACAAACTTTAATCAGTACTTAACGTAACGTAATGCATTACGGAAAAGCTTGTGCGGTGGCGCTAACCCAAACCTATTTCTGATTTAAAACTAAAATTTGGGTTACGTTATACAACCCAAACCAAATTTTCTTTTCGAATTAAACTTTAACTTTAAGTATCTCAAAAATTATAAGAGACCGCCGATTAAGTTATAAAGAAAAGTTACTCAGGATCATGATCTTGACAACATATGTCAAGGTCAACATCGTTGGGTCCGTTTTTTTAAAGTTTTATTATCATGTCCAATACTTTAAAGTGATATATCTCGAAAACTATTGGTCGAAATTTTTTTTTACTATTTTTCCCGTGTTCCTCATCAAAAATGTCTTCAGAAACGATCTTTCAGATAGGGGGCCGTAATTATCGTAATCACCCCCAATTTTCAGAATTTGCTCCCTGAAATGTACGAAAAATATCTTTAACATATCCCATAGAAATCCTTAGGATGTTCCACAGGATCTCCCTGGATTCTCCAGAGACTAATATTTGGCTATCATTTATTCTTCTTCAAGACATCCAGAGGAGATCCAAGAATTAAAATGGGATACCTTCAGGATATCTTACATGTATGTCCTGAATGCCCTTTGGACGTCCTAAAGCTCGTATCAGACTATATATGCATTGAAAATGGAAGATTGAAGATTAAAAATTGGAATTTGACTAATCAAAACAAAAAGGACTAAAATTTACCAACCTTCAGAAAACCCACCTATATGAAATAATGGATAAGAATATGATCTGCCAGCAGAGCCTGCTCACAGAATCTGAGAGCAGATTGGTAGCAGAAACCGGGCAGAATCTGCAGCTTTTGGCCATTCATATAAAATAGTGCATTTAAATAAATTTAAAGGATCTCAATCCCAAGTGGCAAAATGACGGTGAATTTTGGTCAGAAAATGATCAATTAGATGTCCTAAGCTAGGTCTCATAAAACCCGAAAATGGCGTCAATAGTTGATATATCACATTCACAAGACGTCATTTTCTGACATTTGTATTAATAACATATAAATATATAATATTAATAACATATATTAATGTAATATATATAGAAAAATTTAAATAATTTATAAAATTAAAGATTTATATATGTGCGCGAGCGAACTCGGGAGCGCGTTGAGAGTGCGAAATGGACACAAAAGTGATTTTGTAAAACGCAGTCAATTTATTTAAAACAATAAATAGTTCACAAGATTTGGTTCGATAAGATTTGAGCTAATCTTAACCGTGTCTGTCTCCGGCGAGCGACCGGGAGCGCAACGATAATCTCCGCGAGCGACGGATATATCGAATACCGCAAGCGACGGTATAAACAGAGCGATTCCGCGAGCGACGGAATAACCCGCGAGCGACGGATAGAATTTTGTAACGAATATTCGCGAGCTACGAATATTCTCGAAGACGCGAGATTTCGCGAACCACAAGCGATGGTTAACAGAAGAAAAGCGAGCTACTTTAACTTTTGCTAGCGAACGTCTCCGTACAAAGAAATCACACACTGTCACGGATAAATCTCGATCGAGTGCGCCGGGCGATTCCCCGAGAGAGCTTATATACAACCGTTCTTTTGCTGCTTCTAGAATATTCGACGTGTTTGTCTCGAACAATATATGGAATTTAATTTCTATTTTATATCTAAGTAGATAATAACGATTTTCATTTATTCGGACAATTTCTGTCCGAATAAGTGGAAATCGGACATTTACCTGTCCGATTTTCCAAAAATCAGTTTAATATCTGAATTCCCCTGTATAGGAATCGTATCAAAAATTAAATTGATAGAAATAATTACAATGTCATTAATCGCATTTTGCAGGCTTTATATACGCTCATGACAAGAACTTGAATATGGGTATAGACTTTGCTATCAATCTGCCATCCGATTGCGCGCGCACAGATCTTGCTCAGTTTTTGCCACCAATCTGACGTCAGGTCATGTTAGCAAATTCTGCTCGTTTTCTGCTGTCAGATTCTGTAAGCATACTCTGCTTTGTTTTTGGCATCAATCTGTCGATTTAATCTGTAATAACAACTTCTGTACCAAATTTGTATCCTTTTTGCTAACAATAGTTGATAGCAGGCACTTGGCATGATCTGCTTTCGACAGACTTGGCTATCTGGGTATTTTGCAAGACGAAGCAAAGTTCACTCTACACGTAACCTTGACCCTTTAGGATTGTAATGCATATATTTTAGATTGGTGATCGACCTCGATGCGTGGATGCAGTGGGTTCCGCCCCCCACTTCCGGAAGATATAACCTAACCCAAACCTATCCCTGCCGAAAATGTTCGATTAAAACCGATTAAAACATAATCCGTTTTAATCGGTTTTAATCGGTTTTAATCAGTTCAATCCGCGCCTGGATTAAAAAGTAATCGATTTTAATTCCGAACAGATTATAATCGGTTTTAATATCGCTTTCGCGGATTATTCCCAATCCGAATTTACTTTTGTCG